GATTCTGGTTTGTTAAATTTTGATGACCCGAAACCAACAGATGACTTTAGAATTGTTGAAGTCAGTAAAAATACTCGCAATACACCAAGTTTTGAATTTATTGAAACTCTCGATATTCCATTAAAATCAAACGTTCTAGATACACCCAGTAGGCCATATAGTTTGAATGTACCCCTTGAATCAAGCGATTCCAAATCTTGTGATGTAGTTAAATCTATCGATTCTAATGAATTTGGAGTTCAGGGATATACGATGGAAGACATAAAAAAACTGATGAGATCCGATTTTTTTTTTCATGTAACCAATATAATTTGCTGTTTTTATCTGAAAACAACAAAGCAGACCTTGTTATACATGATGGTTTTTGTATGATAATTTAGTATGTAAATCAATAAATAAATTGCAAATAAAGATACGATTGGAAAAAGCAAACTGCACATACTTTTAAAAACTTAAATGAATGTAAATATAGAAATTTTAAAACAAAGGTACGATAAAGTATATTATAAAGATGTTGATTATTCAATCTTTATTATTGTGAACGTACGCAGTTAAAAATTAAACTAAGTAAAACTATTTTTGTAAATATTGCAATGCGTTTTTCTTTTTAAAATATGTATATTGATTTTATTTGATGGTAAAACAAAAAAGATTATTTGTATTATTTACTGTGTTTTTATGAGAACTAAATTTGATCATTTGACTTTAATGTTTCTTGTCTATTTTGTCTTTGTTATACATCAAATAGATTTTTACAAAAATAATAAATTTTAAGAATAGAATATTACTGTGATTTCTGATTTTAATAGAGAGCATTATAATTCTGCTTGGTCATAATAAAAAGGAAACATGCGATATATTATCACTTTTGAAACTAATGGAAAAGTGTAAATATTTTAAAAATATAATTCATGCAAGTTCAATAATTAACTTGATTGATTTTATTGTCTTAGAACTATTGTACCCTTTTTATGTTCTGAACTTTTAAAATGAATAAAAATCTTTTAAAATAACTGTTCGCCTTTATTCGTATGTCGTTTGTATTTAACGTTAATTGAGTATGTTTAATTACTACAGATCATGAAAATCAAAACACAAAGTGAAATATTATTTGACTCAATTAGGTAATCACTGTTCAAAACAATTCTAGCATCGATAAAAATTTTTTTTCAAACATTGCACTATATCTGGGAGAAAACAAGGCGCGAGGTGGTTGGTTGTGAAAAAATGAATACATTTATGCAACATTATTAGGAAGATAAATATACTGGTTTCTAAATTTAGTGAGTGTTGTTATTTACAAAGAAATTCTGGACGTCAAAAGGAATAAGAATAACAAGGTCTGAAACATAATCTACTGTCTGACACACCTTGTTGAATATCGATGAGGTACTGCTGGTCAGGCTTATGATTTTAGAGTTTTCTTTAAATAACACCACTAACAATAGCATCAGCCCATTAAACTACCAAAAGGGAGATTTATTTTTAAAAAACTTTTTATTGCCGAGAGGTAATTTTAAATATAAAGTGTCAATAGCTGTAAATGCACAATGAGTGAAAAAATAATAATTTAAAACGTTTAAAATTAGATGCCAATATTAGCTGATTACAAATAACCACGTGGTAAAATTATAGACCCGCTGTTACATAATCTTGACACGCAGGTAATTTCAATGGTGATCGTTACGAAGCTATAGAAATGGTTTGTTTACTACCGAGTGATCCAACGTTTTAACCACCGCGGCGATTAGACACGCAGGTAAAAGTCACGTGTCACGATGCGGTCCAGTGAACTTGACCCATCAATTTGTTTATCTCCGTGTTTTGGCACTCAGGTGGACATTGAGTCTAACCTTTTGATTCTAATCTTAACCCGTCGTCACAAAATACGACACAACCCGCCTAACCCATAAGTATGTCACCTCACCATCAACTGTGTGTCACCTCACCATCAACTGTGTCACCTCACCATCAACTGTGTCACCTCGTCACCTCACCATCAACTGTGTGTCACCTCACCATCAACTATGAGTCACCTTACCATCAACTGTGTCACCTCACCATCAACTGTGTCACCTTACCATCAACTGTGTCACCTCACCATCAACTGTGTCATTTCACCATCAACTGTGTCACCTCACCATCAACTATGTGTCACCTCACCATCAACTGTGTCACCTTACCATCAACTGTGTCACCTCACCATCAACTGTGTCACCTCACTATCAACTATGTCACCTCACCATCAACTATGTCACCTCACTATCAACTATGTCACCTCACCATCAACTATGTCACCTCACCATCAACTGTGTCACCTCACCATCAACTCTGTGTCACCTTACCATCAACTGTGTGTCACCTCACCATCAACTGTGTCACCTTACCATCAACTGTGTCACCTTACCATCAACATGTGTGTCACCTCACCATCAACTATGTCACCTCACCATCAACTATGTCACCTCACCATCAACTGTGTCACCTCACCATCAACTGTGTCACCTCACCATCAACCTGTGTGTCACCTCACCATCAACTATGTCACCACACCATCAACTGTGTCACCTCACCATCAACTGTGTCACCACACCATCAACTGTCACCTTACCATCAACTGTGTCACCTTACCATCAACTGTGTCACCTCACCATCAACTGTGTCACCTCACCATCAACTCTGTGTCACCTTACCATCAACTGTGTCACCTCACCATCAACTGTGTCACCTCACTATCAACTATGTCACCTCACCATCAACTATGTCACCTCACTATCAACTATGTCACCTCACCATCAACTATGTCACCTCACCATCAACTGTGTCACCTCACCATCAACTCTGTGTCACCTTACCATCAACTGTGTGTCACCTCACCATCAACTGTGTCACCTTACCATCAACTGTGTCACCTCACCATCAACATGTGTGTCACCTCACCATCAACTATGTCACCTCACCATCAACTATGTCACCTCACCATCAACTGTGTCACCTCACCATCAACTGTGTCACCTCACCATCAACCTGTGTGTCACCTCACCATCAACTGTGTCACCACACCATCAACTGTGTCACCTCACCATCAACTGTGTCACCTCACTATCAACTATGTCACCTCACCATCAACTATGTCACCTCACTATCAACTATGTCACCTCACCATCAACTATGTCACCTCACCATCAACTGTGTCACCTCACCATCAACTCTGTGTCACCTTACCATCAACTGTGTGTCACCTCACCATCAACTGTGTCACCTTACCATCAACTGTGTCACCTTACCATCAACATGTGTGTCACCTCACCATCAACTATGTCACCTCACCATCAACTATGTCACCTCACCATCAACTGTGTCACCTCACCATCAACTGTGTCACCTCACCATCAACCTGTGTGTCACCTCACCATCAACTATGTCACCACACCATCAACTGTGTCACCTCACCATCAACTGTGTCACCACACCATCAACTGTGTCACCTTACCATCAACTGTGTCACCTTACCATCAACTGTGTCACCTCACCATCAACTGTGTCACCTCACCATCAACTCTGTGTCACCTTACCATCAACTGTGTCACCTCACCATCAACTGTGTCACCTCACTATCAACTATGTCACCTCACCATCAACTATGTCACCTCACTATCAACTATGTCACCTCACCATCAACTATGTCACCTCACCATCAACTGTGTCACCTCACCATCAACTCTGTGTCACCTTACCATCAACTGTGTGTCACCTCACCATCAACTGTGTCACCTTACCATCAACTGTGTCACCTCACCATCAACATGTGTGTCACCTCACCATCAACTATGTCACCTCACCATCAACTATGTCACCTCACCATCAACTGTGTCACCTCACCATCAACTGTGTCACCTCACCATCAACCTGTGTGTCACCTCACCATCAACTGTGTCACCACACCATCAACTGTGTCACCTCACCATCAACTGTGTCACCACACCATCAACTGTGTCACCTTACCATCAACTGTGTCACCTTACCATCAACTGTGTCACCTCACCATCAACTGTGTCACCTCGTCACCTCACCATCAACTGTGTCACCTCACCATCAACCTGTGTGTCACCTCACCATCAACTATGTCACCACACCATCAACTGTGTCACCTCACCATCAACTGTGTCACCACACCATCAACTGTGTCACCTTACCATCAACTGTGTCACCTTACCATCAACTGTGTCACCTCACCATCAACTATGTCACCTCACCATCAACTGTGTCACCTCACCATCAACTATGTCACCTCACCATCAACTATGTCACCTCACCATCAACTGTGTCACCTCACCATCAACTGTGTCACCTCACCATCAACCTGTGTGTCACCTCACCATCAACTATGTCACCACACCATCAACTGTGTCACCTCACCATCAACTGTGTCACCACACCATCAACTGTGTCACCTTACCATCAACTGTGTCACCTTACCATCAACTGTGTCACCTCACCATCAACTGTGTCACCTTACCATCAACTGTGTCACCTCACCATCAACTCTGTGTCACCTTACCATCAACTGTGTGTCACCTCACCATCAACTCTGTGTCACCTTACCATCAACTGTGTCACCTTACCATCAACTGTGTCACCTCACCATCAACTGTGTCACCTCACCATCAACTCTGTGTCACCTTACCATCAACTGTGTGTCACCTCACCATCAACTCTGTGTCACCTTACCATCAACTGTGTGTCACCTTACCATCAACTGTGGGTCACCTTACCATCAACTGTGTGTCACCTCACCATCACTTCGCCGCCCATTGTGTCACCCCTCCTCTCCATCTAAATTACTGAACAATACTAAGCTTATTTAAAAAAAATCATGTTTAGGACAATTATTTTGACGACAAAAAAACTCAATCGTTCATGTTTATAATTTTTTTAATTCACCAAAAATGTAAAAAATAAATTAAAATTTAAACACTTATTTTTTTCTGAAATCTTTACATTGAATAATTTATAATATTACGTATACACCATTTCAATAAAATCTCTTTAAATATCATGTCCACACTTTAAAAAACTAAAGTTTGAAAAACAAACCAAAATCTAACAATGAATAGGTCATCGTTTTAGCATGTTGTGTCCGGAGACTTTCCACCGTATCCACACTTCAGTCTCTCAACAAGGCGGACAGAGTTCCAGTTCCAACGTCAATGCTTTATGTGGAATACATTGAAAAAAGCTATTATATGCTGTTATTATAAAACATACAAAACACATTTTAAAACATATTTGTGAAATTTGACTTTGGTAAGTAATGAATTATAGTTTAAAAATAGTACTCAACAACAAATGTATTTGGTTATCAAGTCTTGTGTAACGCCATTCACCGCCATTCAATTGTTCGAACATGGGATGTAATTGGCAGGTTGTTGTTGCCATGTTAGGTATGCAGCGTGGAGGGAAGGGGGTGGGGGGGGGGGGGGAAATGAAGGGACTGAAGTTAATTAAGAGGAGGTTAATGTACTGATTTTTACTTAAAAACATTCTGCGTACTCCCCTCAAATAATAGTGTGTTTGTTACATCAGCTGGTTACAGGCGTGTTTGTTACATCAGCTGGTTACAGCGTGTTTGTTACATCAGCTGGATACAGGCGTGTTTGTTACATCAGCTTGATACAGGCGTGTTTGTTACATCAGCTGGTTACAGGCGTGTTTGTTACATCAGCTGGATACAGGCGTGTTTGTTACATCAGCTGGATACAGGCGTGTTTGTTACATCAGCTGGTTACAGTGTGTTTGTTACATCAGCTGGTTACAGTGTGTTTGTTACATCAGCTGGTTACAGTGTGTTTGTTACATCAGCTGGATACAGGCGTGTTTGTTACATCAGCTGGTTACAGTGTGTTTGTTACATCAGCTGGTTACAGTGTGTTTGTTACATCAGCTGGTTACAGTGTGTTTGTTACATCAGCTGGTTACAGGCGTGTTTGTTACATCAGCTGGATACAGTGTGTTTGTTACATCAGCTGGATACAGGCGTGTTTGTTACATCAGCTGGTTACAGTGTGTTTGTTACATCAGCTGGTTACAGTGTGTTTGTTACATCAGCTGGTTACAGTGTGTTTGTTACATCAGCTGGTTACAGTGTGTTTGTTACATCAGCTGGATACAGGCGTGTTTGTTACATCAGCTGGATACAGGCGTGTTTGTTACATCAGCTGGTTACAGTGTGTTTGTTACATCAGCTGGATACAGGCGTGTTTGTTACATCAGCTGGTTACAGTGTGTTTGTTACATCAGCTGGTTACAGTGTGTTTGTTACATCAGCTGGATACAGGCGTGTTTGTTACATCAGCTGGATACAGACGTGTTTGTTACATCAGCTGGTTACAGTGTGTTTGTTACATCAGCTGGTTACAGTGTGTTTGTTACATCAGTTTGTTACAGGCGTGTTTGTTACATCAGCTGGTTACAGTGTGTTTGTTACATAAGCTGGTTACAGTGTGTTAGTTACATCAGCTGGTTACAGCGTGTTTGTTACATCAGCTGGTCACAGGCGTGTTTGTTACATCAGTTTGTTACAGGCGTGTTTGTTACATCAGCTGGTTACAGTGTGTTTGTTACATCAGCTGGTTACAGTGTGTTTGTTACATCAGCTGGTTACAGTGTGTTTGTTACATCAGCTGGTTACAGGCGTGTTTGTTACACCAGCTGGTTACAGTGTGTTTGTTACATCAGCTGGTTACAGTGTGTTTGTTACATCAGCTGGTTACAGTGTGTTTGTTACATCAGCTGGTTACAGGCGTGTTTGTTACATCAGCTGGATACAGGCGTGTTTGTTACATCAGCTGGTTACAGTGTGTTTGTTACATCAGCTGGTTACAGTGTGTTTGTTACATCAGCTGGTTACAGTGTGTTTGTTACATCAGCTGGATACAGGCGTGTTTGTTACATCAGCTGGATACAGGCGTGTTTGTTACATCAGCTGGATACAGGCGTGTTTGTTACATCAGCTGGATACAGGCGTGTTTGTTACATCAGCTGGTTACAGGCGTGTTTGTTACATCAGCTGGATACAGGCGTGTTTGTTACATCAGCTGGTTACAGTGTGTTTGTTACATCAGTTTGTTACAGGCGTGTTTGTTACATCAGCTGGATACAGGCGTGTTTGTTACATCAGCTGGTTACAGGCGTGTTTGTTACATCAGCTGGATACAGGCGTGTTTGTTACATCAGCTGGTTACAGTGTGTTTGTTACATCAGTTTGTTACAGGCGTGTTTGTTACATCAGCTGGTTACAGTGTGTTTGTTACATAAGCTGGTTCCAGTGTGTTAGTTACATCAGCTGGTTACAGCGTGTTTGTTACATCAGCTGGTCACAGGCGTGTTTGTTACATCAGTTTGTTACAGGCGTGTTTGTTACATCAGCTGGTTACAGTGTGTTTGTTACATCAGCTGGTTACAGTGTGTTTGTTACATCAGCTGGTTACAGTGTGTTTGTTACATCAGCTGGTTACAGTGTGTTTGTTACATCAGCTGGTTACAGTGTGTTTATTACATCAGCTGGTTACAGTGTGTTTGTTACATCAGCTGGTTACAGTGTGTTTGTTACATCAGCTGGTTACAGGCGTGTTTGTTACATCAGCTGGTTACAGCGTGTTTGTTACATCAGCTGGTTACAGGCGTGTTTGTTACATCAGCTGGTTACAGTGTGTTAGTTACATCAGCTGGTTACAGTGTGTTTGTTACATCAGCTGGTTACAGTGTGTTTGTTACATCAGCTGGTTACAGTGTGTTTGTTACATCAGCTGGATACAGGCGTGTTTGTTACATCAGCTGGATACAGGCGTGTTTGTTACATCAGCTGGATACAGGCGTGTTTGTTACATCAGCTGGTTACAGTGTGTTTGTTACATCAGCTGGTTACAGGCGTGTTTGTTACATCAGCTGGATACAGGCGTGTTTGTTACATCAGCTGGTTACAGGCGTGTTTGTTACATCAGCTGGATACAGGCGTGTTTGTTACATCAGCTGGTTACAGTGTGTTTGTTACATCAGTTTGTTACAGGCGTGTTTGTTACATCAGCTGGTTACAGTGTGTTTGTTACATCAGCTGGTTACAGTGTGTTAGTTACATCAGCTGGTTACAGCGTGTTTGTTACATCAGCTGGTCAAAGGCGTGTTTGTTACATCAGTTTGTTACAGGCGTGTTTGTTACATCAGCTGGTTACAGTGTGTTTGTTACATCAGCTGGTTACAGTGTGTTTGTTACATCAGCTGGTTACAGTGTGTTTGTTACATCAGCTGGTTACAGGCGTGTTTGTTACACCAGCTGGTTACAGTGTGTTTGTTACATCAGCTGGTTACAGTGTGTTTGTTACATCAGCTGGTTACAGTGTGTTTGTTACATCAGCTGGTTACAGTGTGTTTGTTACATCAGCTGGTTACAGGCGTGTTTGTTACATCAGCTGGTTACAGGTGTGTTTGTTACATCAGCTGGTTACAGTGTGTTTGTTACATCAGCTGGTTACAGTGTGTTTGTTACATCAGCTGGTTACAGTGTGTTTGTTACATCAGCTGGTTACAGTGTGTTTGTTACATCAGCTGGTTACAGTGTGTTTGTTACATCAGCTGGTTACAGTGTGTTTGTTACATCAGCTGGTTACAGTGTGTTTGTTACATCAGCTGGTTACAGTGTGTTTGTTACATCAGCTGGTTACAGTGTGTTTGTTACATCAGTTGGTTACAGTGTGTTTATTACATCAGCTGGTTACAGTGTGTTTGTTACATCAGCTGGTTACAGTGTGTTTGTTACATCAGCTGGTTACAGTGTATTTGTTACATCAGCTGGTTACAGTGTGTTTGTTACAACAGCTGGTTACAGTGTGTTTGTTACATCAGCTGGTTACAGTGTGTTTGTTACATCAGTTTGTTACAGGCGTGTTTGTTACATCAGCTGGTTACAGTGTGTTTGTTACATCAGCTGGTTACAGTGTGTTTGTTACATCAGCTGGTTACAGTGTGTTTATTACATCAGCTGGTTACAGTGTGTTTGTTACATCAGCTGGTTACAGTGTGTTTGTTACATCAGCTGGTTACAGTGTGTTTGTTACATCAGCTGGTTACAGTGTGTTTGTTACATCAGCTGGTTACAGTGTGTTTGTTACATCAGCTGGTTACAGTGTGTTTGTTACATCAGCTGGTTACAGTGTGTTTGTTACATCAGCTGGTTACAGTGTGTTTGTTACATCAGCTGGTTACAGGCGTGTTTGTTACATCAGCTGGTTACAGTGTGTTTGTTACATCAGCTGGTTACAGTGTGTTTGTTACATCAGCTGGTTACAGTGTGTTTGTTACATCAGCTGGTTACAGGCGTGTTTGTTACATCAGCTGGTTACAGGCGTGTTTGTTACATCAGCTGGTTACAGGCGTGTTTGTTACATCAGCTGGTTACAGCGTGTTTGTTACATCAGCTGGTTACAGTGTGTTTGTTACATCAGCTGGTTACAGTGTGTTTGTTACATCAGCTGGATACAGTGTGTTTGTTACATCAGCTGGTTACAGTGTGTTTGTTACATCAGTTTGTTACAGGCGTGTTTGTTACATCAGCTGGATACAGGCGTGTTTGTTACATCAGCTGGTTACAGTGTGTTTGTTACATCAGCTGGTTACAGTGTGTTTGTTACATCAGCTGGTTACAGGCGTGTTTGTTACATCAGCTGGTTACAGGCGTGTTTGTTACATCAGCTGGTTACAGGCGTGTTTGTTACATCAGCTGGTTACAGTGTGTTTGTTACATCAGCTGGATACAGGCGTGTTTGTTACATCAGCTGGTTACAGTGTGTTTGTTACATCAGTTTTAGTTTGTTGTTTTTGATGTTGTCTGTCCTTGTATGACGATGGCATATTTCTGACGATACAACGTTACAAAAAGAGAAATCGATCACATACCTGACAAAAAGAGAAATCGATCACATACCTGACTGTAGCAAGCGTTGTTCGGGTATTTAAGAGCAACCTCTCATCTCTTCACTGTATCGCCCAAGTTCAAACTCCCAGTTCACTTTCGGGAATTGTTCATTTTCTGTCGATGAAATATAAGGCGTGTTAACACCTTAGTGAAGTTGAAGTGAGCGTCACACTTAGCGAGCGTTGGTACACATTTGTGGTTTTTGGGACAGTTGTTTTACTGATTCTATCCATTTCTGAATGAGACAAGTCATCATCGTCATCTCCCTTTATCTGCAGCCATTATCAGCAATTGGACGTGTCATTAGCATCAGCAGCTCTTTTCAACCCCCCCCCTCTCATTCTCCCCCATCTATCTTATTCGTTTCCCGTCTGTCCAATTATATATATATATATATATATATATATATATATATATATATATATATAAATATATATATAAATAAATAAATAAATATATATATATATATGTATGTATATATGTATGTATATATATATATATATATATATATATATATATATATATATATATATATATATATATATATATATATATATATATATATATTGTAAATAAATAAATATATAATTACAGTCTATGCTATTTAGTGTCTATGTGTTTAAATATTAAATGCAGTAGCCAGTGTATGTTTTTAAAAATAAATTTGCAACTTGATAAACTGTAACTTGCCAGGGTCCAAATAATCAGATTTCATAGGGCTTCTGTGCAAATAGTTTTTGGTATCATTCCCCTCAAACTTGTACTCAACAAAAATGCTGTAGTTGCTTTTGGCATGCACCGGGTACCAAAATAACCGCATTTGGTCGTCCAGCTTACTCTCCAAGGCTTTTTTCGATATGCACCAGCATGGGAATTTGCTTCTGTGACATGTGAGCGAATAATTGCTGCTGTATTCAATATCCATATCGCAAAGCTGATAATATAGGCAATAGTATTATTTTTTTTATCTTTTTACTTAAATATTGTTTTTGTAGGATAAGTTTCTACATTAGATGTTAATTTACAAAGAATAGTAAACAATTTTAAATAATATTTTTTTTGTAATGGGGAGGTGTGTTTCATATGTAATAATTTTGTATGTAGGGAATCTGAAAAAGGACCAACAGAACGATGGACTATATCTACTTGGACGAAATATCAAACGATGATTAGACATTAAAGACTTATGCGCTCGAGTGCTTTGTGTACGTTTTATATGTTTGTGAACTCATGATGAGAGACATTTTGCTTAAGTAATTAGACAGTAATATCATTTAATTCAATATATACGAGGAATGAATAAATATTGAAACTAATAAATAAAGCATTATACCCGTCCATGTATGTAGTGGTAAAACAAAGTCTCTAGTGAAAGCAAATTAATAGTAATCAGAAGTGATCAAAATAACAGTCTATCGCCGTCAATTTTATCATAATTTCTAAGTGAAAATATCTAATCCTCTCCCCCTACACGTCTTTTTTCTTACTCTTTCCAACCTATAATCACACCAAGTCACATTATTAACCCCTCCCATACACATAACGGTAAATTATTAACCCCTCCCATACACATAACGTTACATTATTAACCCCTCCCATACACATAACGTTAAATTATTAACCCCTCCCATACACATAACGTTAAATTATTAACACATCATATCCTGAACGCCACAATATTTACCCCTGTAATTGTTACTACTTCAAGCTTTTTACTCTAACACTTCCCCCATCCTTACTCCGTCATGCTGCTGACCTCCCCCATCCTCACTCCGTCACGCTGCTGACCTCCCCATCTTCACTCCGTCACGCTGCTGACCTCCCCCATCCTCAGTCCGTCACGCTGCTGACCCCCCTCATCCTCACTCCGTCACGCTGCTGACCTCCCCATCTTCACTCCGTCACGCTGCTGACCTCCCCCATCCTCACTCCGTCACGCTGCTGACCTCCCCCATCCTCACTCCGTCACGCTGCAGACCTCCCCCATCCCCACTCCGTCACGCTGCTGACCTCGCCCATCCTCACTCCGTCACGCTGCTGACCTCCCCCATCCTCACTCCGTCACGCTGCTGACCTCCCCCATCCTTACTCCGTCACGCTGCTGACCCCCCCCATCTTCACTCCGTCACGCTGCTGACCTCCCCCATCCCCACTCCGTCACGCTGCTGACCCCCCCCCCCCCATCCTCTCTCCGTCACGCTGCTGACCTCTTCCCCACTCCGTCACGCTGCTGACCTCCCCCATCCCCACTCCGTCACGCTGCTGACCCCCCCCATCCTCTCTCCGTCACGCTGCTGACCTCTTCCCCACTCCGTCACGCTGCTGACCTCCCCCATCCTCACTCCGTCACGCTGCTGACCCCCCCCCCAATCCTTACTCCGTCACGCTGCTGACCTCCCCCATCCCCACTCCGTCACGCTGCTGACCCCCCCCCCCATCTTCACTCCGTCACGCTGCTGACCTCATCCCCACTCCGTCACGCTGCTGACCTCCCCCATCCTCACTCCGTCACGCTGCTGACCTCCCCCATCTTCACTCCGTCACGCTGCTGACCTCATCCCCACTCCGTCACGCTGCTGACCTCCCCCATCCTCACTCCGTCACGCTGCTGACCCCCCCATCCTCACTCCGTCACGCTGCTGACCTCCCTCATCCCCACTCCGTCACGCTGCTGACCTCCCTCATCCCCACTCTGTCACGCTGCTGACCTCCCCTATCCTCACTCCGTCACGCTGCTGACCCCCCCCCCATCCTCACTCCGTCACGCTGCTGACCTCCCTCATCCCCACTCCGTCACGCTGCTGACCCCCCCCCCCCCCCATCCCCACTCCGTCACGCTGCTGACCTCATCCTCACTCCGTCACGCTGCTGACCTCCCTCCCCCCCAATCCTCAATCCATTACGCTATTAACCTTACCCATTCTCTCACTTCGTAACTTTTAACCCCACCCATCTTTCATAATAAAAAAACTATACAGTGCTTACACTTCATATCACACCAACGGTGACGAGAAGAATGCGCACAGGAAAATTGCTGATCCAATAACTGCACTTTAAAAAGTTCGCAAGAGGATTTAAAAAAAAATCTATCGTTTATAAACGTAAGTAGAGATTGACCAAAGGTGGTCTACGTTAGTGCATGATAAAAATATTATCTCATGAGCTATGACCAAATGTATGTTGGTAGTTAAATAAGTTTGAATTTGCAGCTTCTTCTGTTTTCCCAGTTTCCAGGAACCCCTGTTGAAGGTTTATGACCAGCGCCGCCTGTTATAAGGAACTGAAATCTACAAGTGTATGCAGTACCTTTGTTAAAGACGATAGTATTCTAATATTGCTATAAATAGAGACCTACCGGTTTCCAATGGTAATAAGGGAAACAATCCCAGCCTTGTGGACAGTACATGATGAAGATCTTGATGTCAATGACTGTATTATGATCAAAGTACGCAGGAAAAACAAAAATGCCCGTCATGTACCCCGTGTAGCACACTATATCATCGGGACATTGAGAGTACTTTCTCTCCCAGCCTTTATTTACCAAGTTATAAAAGAGAGTGTCCTCGTATTCTGCAACAAGCAACACCGTTATTTAAACTGTTTTTAGCGGTAGAGAGATGTGTGTGGCTGGTGTTGTGAGGTGTGTGTGTGGCTGATGTTGTGAGGTGTGTGAGGCTGATGTTGTGAGGTGTTGGTGTGTGTGGCTGATGTTGTGAGGTGTGTGAGGCTGATGTTGTGAGGTGTTGGTGTGTGTGGCTGATGTAAGATGTTGGTGTGTGTGGCTGATGTTGTGAGGTGTGTGTGGCTGATGTTGTGAGGTGTTGGTGTGTGTGGCTGATGTTGTGATGTGTTGATGTGTGTGTGCTGATGTTGTGAGGTGTTGGTATGTGTGGCCGATGTTGTGAGGTGTGTGGCTGATGTTGTGAGGTGTTGGTGTGTGTGGCTGATGTTGTGATGTGTTGATGTGTGTGTGCTGATGTTGTGAGGTGTTGGTGTGTGTGGCTGATGTTGTGATGTGTGTGTGCTGATATTGTGAGGTGGTGTGTGTGGCTGATGTTGTGATGTGTTGGTGTGTGTGGCTGATGTTGTGATCTGTGTGTGCTGATATTGTGAGGTGGTGTGTGTGGCTGATGTTGTGATGTGTTGGTGTGTGTGGCTGATGTTGTGAGGTGTGTGTGGCTGATGTTGTGAGGTGTGTGTGGCTGATATTGTGAGGTGTGTGTGGCTGATATTGTGAGGTGTTGGTGTGTGTGCTGATATTGTGAGGTGTTGGTGTGTGTGGCTGATTTTTTGAGGTGTTGGTGTGTGAGGCTGATGTTGTGATGTGTGTGTGGCTGATGTTGTGAGGTGTTGGTGTGTGTGGATGATATTGTGAGGTGGTGTGTGTGGCTGATGTTGTGAGGTGTTGGTGTGTGTGGCTGATGTTGTGATGTGTTGGTGTGTGTGGCTGATGTTGTGATGTGTGTGTGCTGATATTGTGAGGTGGTGTGTGTGGCTGATGTTGTGATGTGTGTGTGGCTGATGTTGTGATGTGTTGGTGTTTGTGGCTGGTATCTTGAGTTGGTGTGTGTGGCTGATATTGTGAGGTGGTGTGTGTGGATGATATTGTGAGGTGTTGGTGTGTGTGGCTGATGTTGTGATGTGTGTGTGGCTGATGTTGTGAGGTGTTGGTGTGTGTGGCTGATGTTGTGATGTGTTGGTGTGTGTGGCTGATGTTGTGATGTGTGTGTGCTGATATTGTGAGGTGGTGTGTGTGGCTGATGTTGTGATGTGTGTGTGGCTGATGTTGTGATGTGTTGGTGTTTGTGGCTGGTATCTTGAGGTGGTGTGTGTGGCTGATGTTGTGAGGTGTTGGTGTGTGTGGCTGATGTTGTGATGTGTGTGTGGCTGATATTGTGATGTGTTGGTGTGTGTGCTGATGTTGTGAGGTGTTGGTGTGTGTGCTGATGTTGTGAGGTGTTGGTGTGTGTGGCTGGTGTTGTAAGGTGTGTGGCAGATGTTGTGAGGTGTGTGTGGCTGATGTTGTGATGTGTTGGTGTTTGTGGCTGGTATCTTGAGGAGGTGTGTGTGGCTGATGTTGTGAGGTGGTGTGTGTGGATGATATTGTGAGGTGTTGGTGTGTGTGGCTGATGTTGTGATGTGTGTGTGGCTGATATTGTGAGGTGGTGTGTGTGGCTGATGTTGTGATGTGTTGGTGTGTGTGCTGATGTTGTGAGGTGTTGGTGTGTGGGCTGATGTTGTGAGGTGTTGGTGTGTGTGGCTGATGTTGTGAGGTGTGTGTGGCTGATGTTGTGATGTGTTGGTGTGTGTGGCTGATGTTGTGAGGTGTGTGTGGCTGATGTTGTGAGGTGTGTGTGGCTGATATTGTGAGGTGTGTGTGGCTGATATTGTGAGGTGTTGGTGTGTGTGCTGATATTGTGAGGTGTTGGTGTGTGTGGCTGATTTTTTGAGGTGTTGGTGTGTGAGGCTGATGTTGTGATGTGTGTGTGGCTGATGTTGTGAGGTGTTGGTGTGTGTGGATGATATTGTGAGGTGGTGTGTGGCTGATGTTGTGATGTGTTGGTGTGTGTGGCTGGTATCTTGAGGTGGTGTGTGTGGCTGATGTTGTGAGGTGGTGTGTGTGGATGATATTGTGAGGTGTTGGTGTGTGTGGCTGATGTTGTGATGTGTGTGTGGCTGATATTGTGATGTGTTGGTGTGTGTGCTGATGTTGTGAGGTGTTGGTGTGTGTGCTGATGTTGTGAGGTGTTGGTGTGTGTGGCTGGTGTTGTAAGGTGTGTGGCTGATGTTGTGAGGTGTGTGTGGCTGATGTTGTGATGTGTTGGTGTGTGTTGCTGGTATCTTGAGGTGGTGTGTGTGGCTGATTTGTGATGTGTTGGTGTGTGTGGCTGGTGTTGTAAGGTGTGTGGCTGATGTTGTTAGGTGTGTGGCTGATTTTGTGAGGTGTGTGGCTGATGTTGTGAGGTGTTGGTGTGTGTGGCTGATGTTGTGAGGTGTGTGGCTGATGTTGTGAGGTGTGTGGCTGATGTTGTGAGAAGTAGGTATGTGTGGCTGATGTTGTGAGGTGTGTGGCTGATGTTGTGAGGTGTAGGTAGAGAGAGCCTGACTGCTAACCCTTAAGTCTCGAGTTCGAATCCGGGTTCAAGTCAGAAGACCATCACTCTGATGGATACCTAACTCATGTTAGGGAAAGTAAAGGCGGCTGGACATTGTGCTGACCACACTATCTCTTCATATGCCGAGGTCACAGAAACAAGTCAACTCTACCCTAGACCGTTAGGTTTGAAAGGGAACTTTACTTTAATAATGGAGCGTTTTTTTTTGTGATGCTTTATTCACGATAAAGTATGTGTGGAAAAAAAAACGGACTTCACAAAATAAAATAAGTTCAATATTTTATTCATTTCTTTTTAACTGCTGTCTATTAATATAATTAATCAGATAAAAATAAAAAATTGCACTATTCTATTCTTCTAATATCTAACATTTTAAATACGTGAACTACTTTATAGTAACATTGATTTGAACGTTTTTATTTGGTCAGGGTTTTGATATCAGTTCAAAAGAGATTATTTGTCTATTAGTTATAAGATATCAGTTTTTGTGTGTGTAAAACATGCATTGTAGGGCGAAACGTCATTGCTTCCATTTCAGATAACAGTCAATTAAACAGAACGTTATATAGTTTTTGGTGACTTTTAACTTTTAGATAAACTCACAATTTCCCGACGCTTATTTCAAATTATTTTTTAAATTTGAAACAGAGTATGGTTGGATTTCTAGCTTGATCTAAATGTCACACGAACAACACATTGTCTACCTAAGCAATCAACACAAAGGAGAAGTGCTGAAAGTACTAGGAGCTTCTCCATCTATCAGACTTATAGTGGTCTCACACTATCCAAACAAATTCAATTTGGTGCAGACAGAGGAAGCTAAAAATAACATTTGTCGCTACACATCTTGTAGACCTCGAGCCCGTTGCAAATGCTGCTTCCGGTTTGTTGAAGTGCAAAATGGTGCAGAAATGTAAGCAGCTTATTCTGTACACTAAAGTTAAAATAAACGCATTTCTTTATATATATATATATATATATATATATATATATATATATATATATATATATATATATATATATATATATATATATATATATATATATATATATATATATATATATATATATATATATATATATATATATATATATATATATACAAACTTACTATTATCGGTAAGGCTTTGCTCCTGCCAATTATAGCCTTATCTAATTTAAATGATAACTGAAACAGGTTTTTTCCTAACACGAGTTAGGTACCCATCATAGCTGGGTTGACTCAGGGACGTTCAACTGACTTAAACCAGGATTCGAACTCGAGACTTTCGCTAAGGCCAAGCCGTCCTACTGAGGGCAGCGGTCAGTGTTTGCTGCTTAATAAAAACACCCGCCACGGTCCATTGAAGCTACGTTTTTCACAAAAGGTCACTTAAGGCCTGCTGGGGACTAGTTTCATGTATAACATCCAATACTTGGATTACTTTCGATTTTTAGTGACCGCCGATTGCCGGAAGTGGTACTTGGCGATCTCCAATAATCGGTAGTAGTTCTCTTTCTCTGGTTACTACATTACCGAAATTGTATATAGCTATATATAAGATTCTCTTCATTGGGGCCTTACGAGGGGGCGGAGAGAGAGAGAGAGAGAGAGAGAGAGAGAAGAGAGAGAGAGAGAGAAGAGAAGAGAGAGAGAGAGAAGTGAAAAGTGAGGATGAGGATAATCGTTCTTTAATAGTTACTGATAGTAATTTAAAGCAAAATATTTTCAGTCGCAACATTGGTAGTGTTGAATTCACAAAATATGAAAAATTGGAAATAAAACAACTAAATAGCGGCGTATGTTACTTAGCGGGTGAGTTCGTATATATATATATATATATATATATATATATATATATATATATATATATATATATATATATATATATATATATATAAGATTTTGTTCTCTTGATTTAAGTTTTGAGTGATTTCAGGTGACCGGAAGCACTGCTTTACTTTATTTCTGATTCTCAAAAGAGATCAGTTCTACTGGATCGATTTATTTTAACATTTTCACGAAGATTAACGTTCGATGACAATGCACTGTGACATAAAAAAGTGTTTTTAAAAAGTACACATTTTCCTATATATTATACAAACATTGTGAGCGTTGTTTTGGTGTACAATTCTTTTCTCTAAGATATTCTATTTAAAAAAATTAAGCATTAAAATGATAAATCAAAAGGATTGGCTATCCCATTCTCCCATACAGTTACATGAGAATACACGAGGAACTTCAGGGGAGATCACTCCCGATTTATTTATTTCTATGTACACAATCGCCGAGTCAAAACATTCTAAACCATATAATCTACGACTTGATTGCAATCCACGTTACACCAGATCCGTATATATGGGTGTCTGCCCACGTGCCGCACACCAGATCGAATCCTGTTGGGGTCACGTTAGTAGGCCCGATCCAGTACTCCGTGTTGGGGGAGTATTTTACTATAAAACATGTCTAACCCTCACCCTCCGTCGATGCCAGGGCTCGAGGCAAATGCTAATCAAATGTGACCTGATATACTACTTGGGGAGGCGGTGACCTAACATAAAATTTCAATGTAAATAAGGCGAAGTTTCAATTAACTATTTTGTAACAATATGTGCGTAAGCAATGAAATAAAAAAAAACAATGTTTTATTTAATTTTTATATCAAATATTCCATTTACTATAACCGTGCTTGCAAGAAAGCCCATATTCTTATTTCCGCGTAACTTTAAAACAGATTGTGATTAATTTATTTGCGCTAAGGTGATTAAGGAAATGAATTATGGAATATTTGCTGATAATTGTTTTCAAGGTTATTCCATGTTTAACGCAATTTGAGGAAAAAAAACAACTCACCTGTTAACATCCGGGTTCTACCTCCCTGGGGATCCCAGTGCCGCCATGAAAGGCGGCGTAAACAGATTTTCCTACGTAAGCTGTGGCAAAATTTCTAAATCCAGATTTATCTTCTTCTTCTTCTTCGTTCTTAATTATTAGTGTTGAAGGGGATCGAGATTTATCTGCCAGTGGGTTTGAACTCGAGACTTTGTTCGAATTTATCAACCATGAACTTTTTGCCGACTCGACCACGCCTCCAACACAATTAAGCGTTACGTGTCAACTGGTTATGCGCCATTGAGGCCATTGACTCCGATTTCAGCCTGCTTTTCTTTTTGGATTTGCTTCCATAGCCTTTGTCCAACCAAGAACAAACTACAAGGCAGCAGTTGTTTAATTCTGGAGTTGTAACTCCTAGAAGAGTGGCTGTCCCCAGCTAACGAGCCTCATCTACCCGAGGGTTCGAACTCCAGACTTTTCGGTTTAGCAACCATGAGCTTTACCGACTCGACCACGCCGACCCCCTCAGCACTACTGCTAACCTGTAGCGTTCGCTGCTGTCATACAATCAATCAAAAATGGATTTTAAAGTAATTAGAATACATATACTTTAATCAAATCTTAGAACCTGTAGAGATTTAGCAAAATGTCATTATTGTAAAAAATATTTAAATCTGATTTATCTTAGCAATGATTATACATTAGTTGTAAATGGAATTAGTTAGTTTAACGGCAATAGATCTAGGCTGTTAATTTGAGTTGTAAGTATAATGACGACGTTCACATAAAAAATGATATGTCATTTTGAATCAGCCTATGTAAAAGTCTGTACTTACCAAATGTTAATGACATTGATAAACAGCCTGCCACAATGTAGATTGCAGAACGTTGAATCATTTTAAAAGCTCCTAGATTTAAACAATAAAGAACGTATGCTGACAAAAACAATTTGTATACAAATATATTCTCACGGAAATTTTTTGCCATAGGCCTACTTTTTTTTCAAATGAGGAACAAACCATTTTTTTATGCACTTGATGGTTGTACAAAAAAATTGTAAAATAAATAATGCTAATACAAATTATAATTTTCACAAATATCTAACTGGAAAATTGTTCCCTTTCATGTGTGCTTTACACACTTCTGATTTCTTTAGTAGGAATTATCACACGTTTCCGTATGAGAAAGACTGGGTGTCTATGAAGAACAGGACATAGATATACAAAGATGGCCTGATAACCTTGTAAGCTCTATATCCTTCCCCGGAGGATTCAACATTTCATCTACAACTAGAAACACCTGACTAATACGTCCGTTTTTAACTAGAAACTTGCAACTATTTCACTATAAGCAATCTTTTTGTGTGTCTTCGTTGTTTAAGTGAATATGGAAAGATTATGACCGCGTAGTAACAGAGCAGCATCAAAGTAAAGAAATGATAAACGCGATCTTGTTGAAGTAACTATTTACTAAACATATCCGTGTTTGAATAAGAAATGTATCTGAATTTGAAAATATATCTTCACTTACTAGACAAACATCTGATAATGATACAATTAAAAGATCTATATATATAATTCTCTTCTTAGAGACGTTAGAAAACAAGCTGTAAGCGCGCCTTGCAGTCCCCTCTCTTCCTCTCTAGGAAGTCTGGTGAGCTTTGGTTCACACTAAATGTTTACAATAGTAGAGCCGGGTAAGGGGTTGGGGGAAAGGAGAGGGGATTATCGTCCTTAACGACTTACTGATAGTGTTTTAAAGCAAATATTTTCAGTGACAGCAGTGGTACTGTCGAATTCACAAATTATGAATTACTGAAAAGTAGAAAATAAAATACTTAAAAAAAAACTTATTAAAAAACCACGTTTTTCTTGTGGACTAAAAAGTAGAAAATAACTATTTACATACATTTGATGACAAAAAACGTGGGTACGTTCACCATCAAATTTCCCGACCCATCTGCCCGACCCACGTTTTTTGTCATCAAATGTATGTAAATAGTTATTTTCTACTTTTTAGTCCACAAGAAAAACGTGGTTTTTTAAAAAGTTTTTTTTTAAGTATTTTATTTTCTCCTTTTTAGTCCGTTGCTACACATGAAAAACGTGGTTTTTAAAAAAGTGTTTATAAATACACGGACTAAAAAAATCTTGAGCGACCAGGATTCGAACCTGGGTTGTCGCGGCCACAACGCGAAGTACTAACCACTATACGATCACGGCCAGCGCGCTCACATCGATTGGGGCCGAAGTAACTGTGTCTATAGACCTCCAGTCTTGTCGGTATCTTTAGAAATCATGTCCTCAATTTTATGGTCCTTGGGGCGTAATTAAATTAAGCTAATTACGGTCTCTAATTGCTAGTTTTTATGATTGCATCTGAAATTGTTAGGCGAAAGTAACCTGCATGCCAAATTTCAGAACTATAGAACAATCAGAAGTGGGCTAATTTTCGATGTCAATTTTAACAACAAACACATCCACGCGAAGCTGAGTTAATAAAAACGTGTTAATAAAACAACTAAATAGCGGCGTATGATACGCCGCGGGTCGGCTCGTATAATTTAAACAGCGTAAACAGGATGTCATGTGGAGCTGTGTACCGCAGGTAGGTGGAGTGTTGTGTGAAACACGCCACATGACATCACACACACGCACACACACACACAAACACAACACACGCACACAAACACACGCACACACACACAAACACACACACACTGTCTCTCTCACACGCACCACTCACGCATTCACGCACGTAAGTACGAGAATGTAAAAACACTGCTTTAGTTACATTAAAGCTTGTTTAAAACTCTATTTCCGTGGGAACACAATAACTTTAATAATCTGTTTTAGTTACTAAGTTGATATAATTTCATCAATAAGTGTAACATTGAATACTTAAATTGCTTATAAATTTTAAGTGACTACTAATATCCAGAATTGGTACTTTGTTTCGGATTTCTAAAATACCGATTTAATTTAGTGAGACAAACGAAGTTTTATACATATAAATAAAATCTTATTCTTATGAACCTTTTAAATTGTTATGACCTCAGGTAACCGGAAGTAGTACTTTACCCTATATCCAATCATCTTAAAAACATCACTTCTACAGGATCTAATTGTTTCCCAATTATCAGGTAGCTCAAGACTCGATGGCCATTTATTGTGAAATAAACTGTGAGTTAATAAGATGTTTAATTAACTCAGCGCTGTGTACAAGACGTAATTAAGCTCTGTGCACAATATGATGTAATGTAGCTCCAAGGACAAAAAAACCCACGTACAAACACACATACAAACACACATTATTTGGTGATATTTTAGTCTTAAAAGCAAAGAAACTATGTAACCGATGATAAAAAGATAATTTACTAGATGAATTTTATTATTTTCAGACGAAACTAACTAATGTTTGATCAACTTTCCACAACAGTCAGCAATAATTATTTATAGTTCGTGTTATATAGCTGTTGAGACTATCCCGTTTGAACTTATATTAAATGTTATATAGCCACTGTCCCGTCTCAACAATCAATTAAGTGGACCTAATCGCAATCCAAGTCACGCCAGACCAGTCTTCTTCTTCTTCTTCGT